TACGCGAGTGCTAAAATATGTTAGTACAATTGTCTGCGGGTTCAAAGGTATGCAGGTGCAAATGGTCTGGGTGCAAATGTACGTGGGTGCAATTATGCTGTCACCTGCACAGAGAATGAGATTTAATCAATCCATGGTTCAAAGGTTATGCCACGCACGTCGCAGTAACATGATTTTCGGACGGCATGGTGGGTTAGGAATAACTTATGAAGAGATTGTTATGCCAAAACGAGCGAGCAAGCGAACTACGGTATTTATTAGGATAGGATAGGATTTACATATTTATCCCGGGGGAGAGGAAAGCCGATAAGACGGCTTATCCATATGGCGAACCACGAATAGGTTATTCTGATACCGGTACCGGTACTATCCGGTATTCTGATACCGGTACTGATGCATACCGGTACTCGATAATCAGATACCAGGATAGGATTACGGTAATGCTGTAATGGCAGAATAGTCTGACTGACTGATGGCAGGATGGTTGGAATTAAAACGAAAATAGAAAAACGTAGAAGGCGATAGACTACTGGTAGTCTAATACTGGAAAAATATTGTTACCGGTACTGTGTTAGCATATACCGGTACCGGTACGATAGCCTACAGATATATGAAGATTAAGAATATTTATCAAAATTGAGAAGCAAATGGGACGATTGCAATTGGATCGCAGTGCAGTGCCTATTTTTGTATTTCCTACAAAGTTGAACTGGAATAATTGTCTGAAAAGAGTTGAAGAAAATAGTAACAGATCTTCAAAAAATACCTCTTACAGCTGTACAGTCTTACGTTCTGTACCGTCCGTTAGTTAGAACAGTAGAGGGAATATGATAATAAAACTCAAGTTGTTACCTCAATTTATGTTTTTATGCAAAATATTTCCAATGCCAAAAAAGTAGGGTGGTGTAGCCAGTCTGTGGACGATTTCATTCAAACCGCTATAAAACAAAAACCAATATTTCTATTCCGTTAATTTTTTCACGGTAGGTGCATTGGCATTTCGACACCTCAAAACCAAACGGTGCTAAGTCCACTATTCCAAAAAATGACATTTTTCAATTGCTGATTTTCCTGGATTTAGCTCTACACTTTGGTCTATTTGCCTTATCTCTAGAGGCGCAGTTCTTACCACTTCATGGCAGCTCCTGCCACGAACGAACCGCGGCAGCTCTTGCCATGGTTTTATAGCGCTATTCTACATTCAGTAATCAGTATTAACGGTATATTCACAAACTAATGTACCAAATTCTAATTGATCATGCGGAATTATATCTACTTAAACCCTAACCCCAAATCCATCAAGACTGTATCCATAAGAAAAACGCTCCAACTTACCCAATATTTGTCACCCTAAGGGACAGCCCTGTCCTTACGGCCCACCTGCCGCGGTTACGGCAGCAAAATTTTACCTGCCATTGGTTTTCAATTTGCTGCCGCGGGTAACGGCAGCTCGACATTGGTTTGTGGCAGCTAAAAAGTCAGTCGCCATAGGTTTGGCCGTAGTGGCCATGGTATGGAAATACCGCCATGGTTTTGCGGCAGCTGCAGACGCCATAGAATACTTAAAACTGCACTTGTATCTCTAGGTGCTCTAGATCTCAAGACAGCTATGGACATAACCCTGCTTTTTTTAGGGCATTTGAGAACTAAACAGAGCTGTGTCTACTATAGTGGACTTAGCTCTGGATAACTGCATTGTAAGTTGGGGCTAAGTCGGTTTTTTGGACATAGCTCTTCTCAAAAAATATAATACAAAGCGCTAAGTCCAATAAAATCATAAACCAGCCACTATAATAACATAATAAAGGGGCCCTAAGTCCAATGAAATTGTTTCTGGTCCAGAAAATTGAGAGCCAAAAAGGGTCCAAAGTCCAACCTCCCCCCCCCCCCAAAAAAATTGGGGCGGAGCACAAATTTTTTTATACCATCTAAATATGGCTTTGATTGTAACTTTGGTGGACCATAAAAACTAGACATTAGAGAAATAAAAAAAAGAAACAAAAAAAAAAACGTTTTTTGCGTTTTTCTCAAAACTAGAAAAATGGACTTAGCCCAATTTGGATTTCATGCGTCGATTTATTCTACACGCTAAAACTCGAATTAACTTTCTACGACCAGGGGGTTAAAGCTATACAAACCACCAAAGTACGACACTCTGAAGACGTATTTGCGACCGAACGACCAGTGTGCGACCACGGATTTCAAGCCTTGAACATCGTTTCTGCTGCGTCGAGACTAGGGCATACGCAGCCATGCGTGAAAAAAATGGGCTTCTAATTGCATTTCTGACCGTCATATATTTTAAAAACACGGTTATTTCAAACAAAACTTGTCAAATTATAAACAAAGCACCGCATCACAGCAATCAAACAGACTAAAACACGGTGGTCGCAAATTGGTGGACAAAGATATTATCGACGTATTGGAAATGCGCACCCTCCTATCCCCTCTCGTTCAAATGTAGAAACGCGAAACTTTAAAGATGGTTAAAAAAAAAACACAACTCTACCCACCTGCCAAGTTTCATCTTTTTATCTCTTATATTTGTGTGGATTTTCAAGCGTTTTCAAAGGAACAATGGGTAGTTGGCGACATGGAAAAATAGTTCGTTTTTTTTTCTTCGGTCAGAACTTTTTTGTTTGTGGCCACATTTTAGTGTAATTTCGCAGAGCTACGAGGGATAAGTGGATGATAACGCGTGAGAAATATCGTCGCGGTTGGTTAATTTTTTCGGCATTAATTTATTCGATGAAGTTGATGGTCGCAAATAGTTCGTGGCCGCAAAGTGGGTAAGCCACCTTGAATGAAATTGTAGGAAAATTTGTATAGGTTATATTACAGTACAGCAGTATTATGTTATGTGTGTTTTTAAATATATATATACTGATACACGCAGTAGAAAATAATGTAGTATTTTGTGACAGAACTATCAATTTAAATTGCCTAGAATATAATATAGGACAACAATCAAGTGCTTATTTAGGTAATTAATAACTACCGTAATAGTGTATTTCTCATGAGTATTATAAAAGTATAATTGATTTTAATTTGATTTTAAGTAATAGTTTAATCTGTATGATATCAGTTAGAATGGGCAAACATAGGCATATATATGACGAAATTATAAAAAATCTCTATTGCAGTATTGGGAAAAGACTTGTGATTATACTGAATTCAAATCATAGTGAAACTTGTAACAATATTCATAATGAAATTTTGGCAAATTATTTAAAAACCTTCAACTATAAATTACAGTGGGATATCTTGCCCTTGAAAACTAAGCTAGAAATTAAAAGAATAGCAAAAAATGTAATATATTATTATGCAATAGCGGACCTGACTTCGTATCACATATTTTCATATCCTGTGAATATACCCAGAAAGTTTATTATGATTTTGTTTGTTTAATTATATTAAAATTAATTGGGATACATTTTATAATAAAATTATGATTTTGCATATTATTTACTTTTAACGATCCTTTATTTAGTTGTATAACTACTGTAGATTTGAATGCAATTATTCTTTTGTTATCAATAGTGCGATATAAAATTTGATTAAAATCCTGAAGTATGCGCACCAAGCTCTTTTTTATTTATATATTATTTATATGTATATAGGTGAAATAACTTATTCATTATGGAAAACTGTTACTGCTGGAACAAACTGAGATAAATTGTTAAACCCAAAAATGGAACCCAGTTAAACCCCAAAATAGATGCAAAATGGAGTTTGGAGTATGGACTTCTATTTTTGTACATTTAATATTTTATATTATTTAATTAAAATCACACAATAAGTAAAAAAGAAAAGAATGTGATGTGGAAATCATTGCAATATCGGCGGTACTAAATAACACAAATCAGATATGTGATGTTGAAATACAGCACGAGTTTTCATTTTTTTTTTTCTTAATAAAAATTTGTCTGTCTCGTGTGAAACGCTGTACCGGGTAACGCAACATAGTATTCACATTTCACGTATTCAACCGACCAGTACATACCATACGTGGACCATCCTGCGCCGACAAGGAGTCCAGCATCCTCTCGCACAGGATTCGAACCTGCAAACCCATGGAGGGTCATTAGAGGTGGTTTGAACATATCTGGGTTACAGCATTCCAAGGAGTACTCCTTTCTCGCTGTATTTTCTATAAAAGACCATGCCATCATACTGTCATAGTACAGTAGTAATATTATGCTATAGCAGTATACCGGTAATGTCATAAATGGAACCCTTCATTGAAATCTAGTGTACACTACGATACTTGTTAGGGATTTGTAAAAATATAACTGTATCTTCCTTGCTGTGTATGGTTTGACTACCATTTGGTACTTTTGTCATTTTTTCATTTCAGCATTAAGTTTGAGATTGCCATGTCATGTTTAAATATTTTAATATATTTAAAATTACGCATTAAATTCAAAAAGGCAACAAAAGCACACAGTTGTAAAACAGTCTGTAATCGCTAACATGACAGTTAACATCACGTTTCTTCTGTAGACTGTATTTGTAGAACACAAAATATGTCACTTAAACACATAAAAATGTCAAGTGGGGAATATCGATGTGTTTTTTCTTACCATTGGGGCCCTGTTAGTATCAAAATCACACCCCTTTAGTAGTATGGCCCATTCCCATTCCAAGAATAGCCGCCATATTAAAAGACATCAATTATAACAGTGATCGAAATTCGCAAATTTTTCCTGTACGACAGAGTGTGGGCCTCCACTCTCCATACTGACAAATTGGCACTGCGCAACAAACTAAAAGGAACGCAATCTAAAATGCCATCATAGCAGGCTATTCCTCTGAAAAAATAGATTTACCGAAAGTAAAATATTGTTACCATAGCATCCGGTGGTTTTTAGCGAAAAAAACGCAATTTTGGTCATGCAACGGCTGAGGCCTGTCTCGATTAATTTGATTATTGTTGAGTTAAGCATGGCGCATTTGCTGTCGTGCCAGACGCCCTCGTTACAACTTTATAATGATCTTATATTTATGTATATACTTACAGTTTTAATTAGGTAACATAAGATTTATTGCCAAATGTCAGACTTGATCCAGACCATCAATGATGATGATGAAGTCAAAGTTGAAAATGAAGAAAGTGAAAGTGAAGAAGAGGCAAATGTCTTGACAAAGGAGGTGATTCAGCAGAAGAGACGAGGTAAAGATGATTTCAACTCAAAGTTCATTTTTGATGAGGATGATGCAGAAGAGAATGTAGGATGGACACTCAATTCTGCAATTGAAATGGCAAAATCTAAACATGCCATCAGCAGATCTTCATTAGATCAGAAAATTGCAGAAGTCAGGAGAAACCGATTGATAAAAAGTGCTCATTTTGCCACAAAGAATAACATGAAAGACAACATTGTATCGAATTCCCAAAACGTGAATGAATATTCTATGGATTACTTAAGTTCAGGGAGCGAAGAAGATGAGACTATGTTGAAACCTGATAAAATAAGAATAAAAAATAAAAGAACAAAATTGAAAGATTCCGATGACATAAACTTGGATGAAGAAATAAAAGCTATGATATCAATGAAGAAGATTAAGCAATCCACTGAAGATGATCTGGGAGACAAAGAATTCTTTAATTCATGCTCACAATGGAACCCAAAGTTGACATTTCAGGATATGAATTTTTCTAGGCCCTTGTTGAAAGGTATAAATGCATTAAACTATGTTGTTCCTACACCAATTCAACAGGCCACAATTCCAGTGGCACTACTTGGAAAAGATATTTGTGCCTGTGCTGCTACAGGAACTGGTAAGACAGCTGCATTTATGTTGCCTGTCTTGGAACGGCTAATCTACAAACCTCGTGTGGCTCCTGTAACAAGAGTTCTGTGTCTTGTACCAACTCGTGAATTGGCTGTACAAGTTCATGCAATCACACGACAAATAGCACAGTTTACGGATGTTCAGGTATGCCTGGCTGCTGGTGGACTTGATATCAGGACACAAGAAGCAGCTTTGAGGCAAGGTCCTGACATACTTATAGCTACACCTGGTCGTCTGATTGATCATCTTCACAACACACCATCTTTTCAACTCGAATCTATTGAAGTTTTGATATTAGATGAAGCTGACAGAATGTTGGATGAATTTTTCGCAGAACAGATGACTGAAATCATTCGACTTTGCTCTATTGGGCGACAAACTATGTTATTTTCTGCCACAATGACAGACAAGGTAAATGAACTTGCATCAGTGTCACTGAAAAATCCTATGAAGTTATTTGTGAATAGCAATACAGATGTTGCACCATATCTTAGGCAAGAGTTTATTCGAATTCGCCCAAACAAGGAGGGTGACAGGGAAGCCATAGTTGCTGCTTTATGTTCTCGTACCTTTGTAACCAGTGTTCTTATATTCACACAAACCAAAAAACAAGCTCACAGAATGCATATTGTACTGGGATTATTAGGACTGAAAGTGGCTGAGCTTCATGGTGATCTGAACCAGTCTCAGAGGCTGGAAAGTTTGCAGAAATTTAAAAATGCTCAAGTTGATATTCTAATTTGTACAGATCTTGCTGCACGTGGATTAGATATTGAAAATGTTAAAACTGTCATCAATTTTACAATGCCAAACACACACAAACATTATGTGCATAGAGTAGGAAGAACTGCAAGAGCTGGAAAAACGGGACGATCTGTTTCTCTGGTTGGTGAAACTGAACGTAAAATGCTGAAGGAAATTGTAAAACAAGCAAAAAACCCAGTGCGTAGTAGACTTGTTCCTCCAGCAGTGATTGAAAAATACAAAGTAAATTCGATGAATTGGATGAAGAGGTAGGTGAAGTTTTAAGAATGGAGATCGCAGAAAAAGAAATGATAAAATCTGAAAACCAGATAAGCAAGGGGCAACGGCTTTTAGGAAAGAAACCAAATGAAGAACAAATTGAAAAGAGAAACTGGTTCCAATCTCGCATTGAAAGAGAGATGATCAAAGCAGAAAAGATACTTGGAAAACATTCAGAAGCCAAGCCTGGAAAAAAATTTGTAAAAGGGAAAATACTGAAAGGTGCTAAATTTGTTCCGCTACCAAAAAATGCCCAAGAAAGGGCTGCTAGGGAGCTTGAAAAAGTACAAGCTTTTCAACTGAGAGAGAAAAAACGAAATCGTAAACAAAAACGAGCCAGGGCCTGTGCAGAAAATGTCAAAACAGCCTCAGCCAAAATCAAGAAACCCAAAAACAAGTCATCGTTTGCATCTGAACTTACTGACACAAGTGCTCGGTCAGTTAAAAAGTTCAGAGCTGGTCCAAGTTATGAGGAACGAAAAGGGTTTAAAGGCAAGCAAAAATATAAAGAAAGAAAGAAGCAATTTAATGGAAAATTGAAACGACATTGAGAAAAAAATGAAAAGGTTTCTTCCCACATGGACTGGTGTCATAAATTGTGCAGAGAACTGGTTGTGTTGGGACATACCTTGGTAATATGTTCCATTTATATCATGCTTTAGTCTCCCCTTTTATGACAATTCCAGTGAACTTTAAAAAATGCTGCCATCACGAATTACTAACCTATAATTTTTGTCGAAAATTTTGAGTGCTTTGAAAGAATGGGATGGGACAGGTGATATCGGTCGTCTAATTATATTAAGTTGCAATTTAGTTTGTAGCGTCCTATGCCAACGTCAGTGACCTATCGTTTTATAAATGTGACGTTTGGTCATATCGCAGCATACATGTAAGCTTTGCTTGGATATGAAACTCGCGCGCTAAATCAATCGCTCGAATTGCGCAAGAACCACGGGTCGCTAACAGACAGAAAGAACAAATTTGAGAAATCGTTGCCTTTGTGCTGAGATGTTTTTTGCGCATGACTTCCAATTCTGTATTTGGCACAAAGACCATGCACGGCGGGTAGGGTGGTGAAATTGTAAACAAGAGTAGAACGTAAAGTCAACCGTGAAGTTCGTTATAACAACGCACATTGGCTCGTTTACGACTTGTATTCCTTCCATTTTGAAGCTTTTTACGCAGTAATAATTAGGGTGTGACGTCATCAAATTCGCCCAAGTGTTGAATTTGCAAATTCCGTAAACAAAATTGTGAATTTCTCGGTAAAGATTTTACCAAAAATAATGAGTTATTGTTTTGTTGGAGTGAAAAAAACGTTTGAAATTTTCGAAAATTAGTTACAATTATAGCGTACGACCTTCTACTGTTTACAAATTTTTTGGCATTAGGTCGCGTATATGTATATATATGTAAATAGTGATTCAAGCAGTGCTCAATATCGACATCACGCCCAGTGACCGCTGAACACTTCTGAGATCATGAATTTTTCGCGGAACACCAAAGGATAATTTTCGGTTTTGTGGAAACTGCCCGAATAGCCAATAAGTCAATCAATTTTATCGCAGAAATTATATTACAAGATCAATGACTCGAGTATCGGAAAAACGTAACAAATACATGAATACAGAGAACAAAAAAAGTACGCCGGAATACCAACGAGAAATATTTAAAACTGGCTGTTCGCAGCCGTTAATAACTATGCAATATTATGATGATATATAATCTTGTTTAGCTATGCACGAATCCTCCATTTTGGCTAGGATTTAGGGGAGGCAAACGAGTCCTTCATCAGTTGTCTGTTTCTTACAAAATTGGTTTGTTTGTATTTTATTCCATTGTCCACCACCTGCCTTCACAAACTCACGCTCGGCGATGGGCCCTAATAGATTCCATATAGTGTATACCGCTTGCCTTGTTATCCCAAGCTGAATTTGCAGTTATTGCAACACTTTTCCAAGGAGATTTATTAGTTTGGTCATTTTCATTTCAATCTGATAAGTATCGAATTTTTTCCACTCTCATTGTTTCAGAATTTCATCCAGGTTGATAGGAAAAGGCGAGCGGTAATTATAATTCAGTTACATTTCTTCATGTTTAGAATCCTTCGCCTAGTTTGCCAGCCACAATTTTACATTCGGTATTTTCGCATATATATGATTTTTTCTGTGAGTTGTCCGTGTCTGCCGTTGACGCGTTGTCTATTTATCTAAAAATGTACCAAGCGCCAGACAACGTATCGCTTACTAAATATTTATCTATTCGTTTCTTGAGATGCTTGCTCAGTTAGATAAGTCGTACTTTTTCTTTATATTGACGTGTATACTATTACATGTTCAATTTAATTCTTTATTTAGGTCAAAATATTATGTGTATTCATTTTATAAATAGTCCAGGGTTACTGGCGAATGTACATTGATAATTTAAATAAAAGTACATAAAAACAAAGAGGAAGATGAATGGTAACTGTGGAATGAATCTAAGTTTTACACATAAATTATGTATATTGAGCTGTGCTGATTGCTCATCAGGCAAAATAAGCACGGGCCTGGGGAACCAAGGAAAATGGGACACCACAGAAATTTCCATATACGAACCGCAATGAATGCATTTATAAAGGAAAGGAAGACTGATTGACCATATAGCCTTCACATTGATTAGCTGATATTTCATCTGACTCCCGAGTAAATATGACGTGTGGCCTCGACGTGGTAATGAATGAATAAAAAAATACATAGCACGCGCAATTTACTACATTTCATCCTTAGTGCCTGGGGTAGCATGTTTTACCTGTCGCGGAGCTCTTGAGACAAAATTCTCGGTGTTTTTCATTTTTTAGTGTGTATAATATCGTTTTAATCTATAAAAGGACATAACGCCGCGCCAATTTTGATCTGAGATGTTTTATAAATTTAGAAAAGTAAACTACGGAGATACGACGGCCAGTTAGCACAAAAGGCAGAAAGGATCAAATTAGTATTCCTCCGCTGACAATAAGAAAATTGGTTTGCACATCCACTAATTTGAATTATCTTAGCATTTTTCTTGTAAAAACGAAACTAAAACGAACCACAAATTTAAAACGGGATATTCACGCAGTCAATAGTTGAAGCAGCGCACACGATAGTCCCAGATGAACCCCTCCAATTGAGACATGAATACACATGCTTCGAATTAACGAAGCATGTTCAATGTAATTTTTTTGGGGTAATTAGCCTCGTCATGGGACATGGGCTGCCAAGCGTGACGTCGGTAATTAGGTGTAAGGATGTGTACTGAAGTAAGGGAGTACTAAGGATGTGTAGTGTAGGATGGGATATTGCAATGAGCGGAAATGAATCAGCGCCAGATTGGAAAAAATTTCAAAACAGGATGATAGCCGCATAAATAAGTGAGCAGCGACAATTGATCAGCGGAATAACCAGCCCCAGAAAATATAAGATCCCAGCGATCAGGGTGGAAGATAACGAGCGAGAGTGAAAATTACGAATGGAAAAATGACAAGGGGAGGAAAGCCAAGCCAATTGAGCAGAGCGGAAAATAATAGGATCCAGCGATCAGCGGAAGATAACGAACAAGAGTGGAACAAACGAAAAGCGGAGTTAAGAAAAAATAGGATCATCCCCCGAAAAAAGCAATGGCGATATTATACAAAAATTACGAATTGAGAGAGAAAAAACATTCCCAGAAAATATAAGATCCAGCCAGCGATCAGGGCGAGAGTGAAAAATTACGAATGGAAAAAAGCCCGAAAGATGAAAAGGGGAAGAAGCCCCCATATAAGTGGGCGGCAATCAATCAAAATGAAAAGATAACGTGCGAAGGGAGTGAAGCCCCAAAGCAAAATAAAGCATAAAAAAGCTGTGATGATACAAATCCCAGACCAGCGAATCAAAAAGCCAGAAGAAGCAAGCAGTTAAGAGAAAAAAATACATCCAGGCAAAGTTGTAAAGTGAAATCGGCAGCGGGACAGGAAAAAATAAGGAGGGAATGAGAATAGGATTAATAGTCAAAGGAAAAGTAATTAAGTGCCTCCCAGTTTTCCGTCTGTCTCAAAAGTCCCTATTGTTGAAGCGATATCTCCTCGATCAGATCGTTTGATTCATCCGTTCAGTTTCTGCAATGGTTTACATTTTTTAGGTTTCTGTGGCAGCTCCAGATTCAGTTCCAATGATGTAAATAGAAGATTTCTACTAGAATCAAGCCTATGTTGCAATCGACTCGAACCTGGACAAATTGCCTTTTGGTGTAGATTTCATAACATGTGTCGCGCTTGTTCGGGTAAGCTTCATTCAGTAATCCATAGCCTGAGGATCTCCACAAGAAGATCGAATGCTAACAATCAGCGCAATGGATCTACTTGTACAAACAGCGTTGCCAATGCAAATGTTCCAGAAGTTAATGGCGTCCAGTTTCAGCTTTCGTCAGTTGTAGTGAAAGGTCCATTGGGCTTTTATGAATACGTTATTTCTGTGCTGGACTCTGCTAGTCAAATAAGAAGGGAATGAGAATAGGATTAACAGTCAAAGGAATAAATATTAAAAAATTCAGCGATAGGCCTAAGAAAATATTGAGATGAAAAACAAAATGGAAATAAAATAGAAACCAGAGAGGCCAGAAAGCAGTCAAGGAAAAAAATCAAAAGACATCCAAGTAAAGTGAAATCGGCAGAGGGACAAGGAAAATTAAATAGAGAACAAACAAGGGAAAAACAATAATAATCAGCTAGGGGAAAATTGAGATGTAATGAAATAAAAATATCTAGGCTGATTGGAGCAGAAAGCTTTAGGCACTGAAAATAAAAACCAGCGAGGTTTGGGTCGACCAGCCTGCAAGAAATTAAGTAAAAATAAAAATGAAGAATAAACCCAGCGCTATTAGTAGTGAAGTGAGTGGAAATAGAATTCAGCGAGGCCCCAACGGAAAAAAGTAAGATAAAAACGTGGAAGGAAATAGAAAAATCATTGAAGCTTGCTGGAGCAGCTGTTTTTGCACATAAACCAATATTCGTATTTCTGCCCTGAATTAATAGTAATGAATACTGAAGACTTCTTACTTAAATTCCGATATATAACATAGAAAACACCAGTTTCATTATTATCATTTCTATATATAATCTGACGTGCTTATGGCACCTAAAAGACATGGTCCGGCCCTGATATTAAGGCTGTAAATTTGATACTTGACAAACATATATATTGATAAATTCAGGTGCGAACTCCTTCTCTTTCGATATTTTTGGAAGACTGAAAAAATTGCTAATGAAGTGCGCGATTGCATTTTGTTAAAAAGTAAAAACACGACAATAATTACTTTTTTGTTCTCGTGAGAAATTGTGAGTTCAGTGTGAAAAATAAGTTAATATTTATTTTATAATCATCGGCGATGGGATCCTAAAAATAATTAATAAAGTGGATCAGCAACCCAAATTTCATGATTGGAAAGCGGCATTATAAAATATTAAACCTAAAACGGAAGATAACATCATAAGTTTTGCTTTGGCAGACTCGCGACAGATTAAAAACGATTTTAAGACATTGTAAATCACCAAATTTGGTGGTGTTAGATTTTCTTTGGAAATTAAACCGTATATAGTCACTGAAATCAAAACACAGTCAATTGTGCGCGCGATGTACCTTTCCATCCATTTTGAAACTACCTACGGAGCTGCATGCGACTTTTCCTCGGTATGTGACAATATATAAGATTAATGTAAAGTATATCAATTAATTTTTTATTGCAATAAAATAAATTTCAATCCGTTGTATTTTGCCCAGATCTTTGAAATTTTTCACACGGTGATCTATATATATCTCAATTAAAAAGAATCTGAGTGGCAGACCTGCGATAGGGCGGAGTCAGTGTTGCAAGAACGGCTCAAATTTGGCGAATTTGCTAAATCGCTGTAATCGCCACACAATCATGATTTAATCGGGCGAGCACAATCTTAATTAAACTACCGGTACCGGCAGTAGGTATGTTTTTTTGTGGGCAGTACGGCATTGCTTCTAATATCTTATGAACCCAGCGGTATTCAAGATGACCGGTAGTCCACAAGAGCTTCGTTTTACTTGACTTTGTTCCTCATTTCATGCCCGCGGATTGACGTGGTAATTTTGATAAGTAATGATTTTGTATAGTCGTAACGCAGACCTTGAGATCTGTGTAATGGCAATATCTTGCTTAAAAAAATAATCTTGTGGGCTGAAAAATCAACACAAATTCGACGAATCAAAAGATTGCAAAAATGCGATTCCAATAGTTGGCAGTTTAGCCCGTATTTGATGTTATTTTAGAATAGTAATCTTTCATTTCATCGTAATAGTAATCTCAACTCAAAGGCGAGTAACCATGAACACAATTAAATTATCATGACAAGACAATATAAATGTTCGCATCGGCCACGTATTGAATATTTTATACAACAGGGAAACTCGTTATCCACTGAAAAAGTCTTTTTTCAACGAGTGGCCTAATCGCGAAAAAATGTGGCGCGGGAATTATCGATTCCAAATTTTATCTCCCCCTTCCCTGGGGCTCCGTACGAATCTTTTTGAGAATCTTTGCTCTAATCCAGTGGTTCTTAATTTTTGTGAGCCTGCCGCACCTCTGCAAGCTCTCGTCAAACCTCATCGTACTGAACGGTTGAAATTAGGAGCCAAACCCTAACTTTATAATTTCTTGCAAGGTTATAGAAAATGAACTTTGCGATGAAACCTTAGATATCAATAACCACGTGGAAATAGCCATTGTTTTGTCACAATAGTGTTGGCAGCAGAAGAAGCAGATGTTTTATTTGTTGTATAAGTTATGCGGGTGAAAAGGCAAAAAAATGATAAAAAAATAGAAACTTTGAAATTACGAATAATGATAATATGCCTCATAAACGTTGGTAAGTCATTTGTTCTCAAACTTCAAACTGCATTGGAATGTGGATAAAAGCGTTTGTCAATTCTTTTATTTTACAGAAATAGAGATAGGATTTCACTCGGCGCCATAACGAGGTTGTCCTGAATGGATCATGATAACTTTGGGCAAAGTTCTGCAATGAAGTATTCCTTGACGCAAATTTATCATCTAGTGAAATTCGAACACGCTCTGATTTTGCATTCATTTATGTACAATTACTGCCTATCTTCGAGTCATCCGTAAAACTGAGTTACTAAGATATTTGAAAGCCATAATGATAAATATCATAGACAAGAACATACACCCAAGCATACGACATCTGTGAAGATTTGAGTTTTCGATGAAATACTGGATTCTAAGGCAGGTCCACTAAAACTTATATCTGCGCGAGGCTATACACACAAAAACGCTATTTTATTAGTTGTCGAACGTGTGAGTTTGAATATCTGAGATGAACTATAGTTATTTTTGCATAATTAGTGGGCAAGATGACAAAAAAGTCTGTTTCAGAGGACCTTCGTCCAACCCCTGGAACAGCTCCACCGATAAGGTTAAGAACCACTGCTCTAATCAATCCATCGTTTATGACAGGTTGTTATAATAGGTTGTTGTCCAAAAAATCGCATTTTGGTATTGTATTTTCATAAAAAAAGCAGAAAAATCTTCAAACATATTGTTACACCCCTAACGTCATTAAATTGCCAAGCTTTATGCCTAGCTGAGACGATCAGTAGACAATAGTAATGGAAGGGTAGATGAATAGCGTGCTTGGCTAGCATAAAAAGTTAACTGACTAAGTCGGGTATTCAATTTCGACAGCGCTAAATGAATTTAAACTTCCACAAATTGTTTCTGTCCTTTCCTTCGGGAATATCCGCTAACGATAATTACTAGGCTCCATAGAAGAGCAAAAATCGGCCTAACAATTACTGCTTGTTACATTGACTTTTGTAACCAACTTGGAGAGTGATACAAAAATTGGCGGCTGTATGTGTTAAAATTTATTGAATATTCAGTAATGTTGCAATATTTCCGTTTTCTCCCACACTTGGCGATATTTACTAATCGATCAATCTGCAATGATTTGCGAGTCGCCTTATAAACATGTGTTTCAAGGGAAAGCTGTCCGATTTAAACAGATTTTTAGCTCGATATGAGAGGAAAAGTACTTGTTTGTGGGAAACAAGAGTAATACTAATGCTTGTGTAGGTGCATATTGGCATTTTGAAAGATTATGAGCAATTTCCAGTTTCCAAAGTTATTGGATTTTGCTTTGAGAATGTTATCGACGTTCGGGAATATACATTTACGAAAGCCGTTTCTTCGTCATAAAGAGACTGAAATCTGATACAAGGAACAGGTTGGGGGACGGAACATTTGATGCCCGTTTGCTGCGACTTTCAACGACCAACATAATTATTGATATTATAGAATAGATTAATCAATGATGATTAAATGTGTTTGTGCAATGAAAGTTTTCGCTTTATACTGAGCTGTTTATTTATTCTTGGCATTAATGTGGCCCACGAACGATACCAAATTGATATTGTAGCCCCTGGTGCCGACAACTCTGGTTTATATTATGACACGTGAAAAAAAGTCTGCTCGAGTGCTTCACCTTTACGTTCAAGAGTTGGTCCTTTGGCAATGTAGTACTGTAGTTTGATGACCAATTCGGTAACATCACACCCAGGGTGTACCTGTTCGCCTACAAAATTGCACTCTGGACAGTTGCACCCATGAATATCCGCACCCTTGGGACAATTTCATCAGTTCTCACCCATATTCACTAATATTTGCGTTTTATAAATACATATATATTGGAAATAAGGGCAGATTACGAGAACAATCTTGGTTATAATCCCATCCCACATTTGCTTCTGTCGGCCATTCATTCCCAACCAAATAAGGCAAACTAAGTAAGTAGGCTACAAGCATAAATCGCACATCTAATTTGAGGCATAATGCGCGACTTGAGAGTATCTCCAGTTTTTCTTTCTATTTACAGATAAGTTGAATGCCAGTGTACCAAGTTACCAAATCAAGACGCCCTACTGGTCCAACACCCTTTTTCCATGCATCTGTATAAAAAACAACTAGTTTTCTATTCCCATACCAAATACGTAACTGAAGACTGTTAACAAGAGAGTATGGACAGAACAAATGTAAGACAACACGTTGGGGTTTCTTATGTATTAGAAGGACAGAACATATCACTTCAATGGAATAAATCTAGATGAATGAGTGGCACCAATTCCAGGCCTTCCGTGCTTCACAGGTTTATATGTGATGCTGAACTCTCCCAGGTAATGACCAATCATTTCAGGCTAAAAAAAAAACTTTTTCAACTCTGGGTTTAAAGTCTTTAGAAATGTTCTTAGATCAGCATCATCGGGAATTATGGCGAGATTTGCAGCAAGTCTGCCAATTTCTTACATATTACATGGCAAAAATAACCATATACGTTTTATTACTATAGTAATCATGACACTTCTTAAAGTAGATGTTAAAGCAGTTGAAATTTTTATCAAAATTTAATGCATCAGAATAGGGGTAGGCAACATTTTTTGATGACACACCATACATTTTCAAGTCAAGTCTGCAAGCCATGCAGAGTCCGTTCATGACAGAATTATTTCCAATGCTATTACACTGGAGTAATAGCAGAATTGAAAAACATGCAAAAAGACTACAATATAGATTTGGCTTCATCAGCGAATTGCATTTTCAGCAACAAAACCGCAAACAACGTGCCAACAACTGCTGGATTATAGAAACATAAAAGAGGAAAATGCTCTCAACAAACAAGCTATCAGTTTGTCAGAAGCTATTTAAACATTTTGCATAATTGACCATCACATCTTATATTTGCAAACAACGAGTTTGATATATATTTATCAGACCATCGAGTCGAAAGAGGGTATATAAACATTACCTTAATTTCTACTTGATTGAATGTTTTACCATTGTACACGCCAACAACACTACCAACCATCTCTGGTTCAACAACCATATTACGAAGATGAGTCTTTACTACATCTGGTTTCTCAAGAGGTGGAGCTTCCTTCTTAGCCTGCAAACATGTAACTACATTAATATTACGGTACTCACCAGTAAAAACCAAAGTAGCTTGGAGTGCAAGTTCATCAAGATGCATAAATTAATTTATTAACTTTTGATTATTTTGTTGCAACAATATGAAACAAAAAAAATAGAAAGCTAATATTTGCCATTCAATATTGCATAAAATAGGTAAAATTTGATATATCACTGATATAGAGAATTCCTTCCATACTCTGATATATACTGCTTCTCGAGAGTAAGGTATGTTCATATACATTTCTACTTATTTTGAGCAATTCGTCTTTTGCAAATGCCCATTTGCTGTCATAAAAAAGCCTGCTCTATCTTGAGGCATTTAGTCCTCTAGCATAAAAGAATGTGTGATTGAGATGGTTCTTAGTAATTAGTTACCAAGACACCATTTTAGGTGAGTAATACCATTCAATAGATATGCCAAGTTAATGAAGTAATGAAGTTGAAAAGTAGTAATGAAGATATATTCCCTACAAATCTTCAATCACCAAATTCCAAATCAAACAAACCTTGCGTAATCTTTTCAACAAAGCATTGTGCTTCCTCTTTACTCCACGACTGAAAGCTCGTCTGATTCTACATGTGTACATTTCCATCAGCTGTTCCCTGTAACAGATCAACACAACCAGTTTTTCTCACTTATTTGAAATAATAAATTTCGAATATACAGTAAACAAAAATTTCAAAACCTGATTAGGAACAAAAAAAACAGCTGATTTTTCTTCAGGTCAAAGTGAAAAACCATCAGGAAATTTCAGTACTTATTTTCATCATAAGAAAAGTCAGCCATTATTTATGACAACAAAACAAAAAAAGAATGACCTCATCTTATTCAAATGACAAAGCCGGGTATTATCTACATTGACTACATATTTATGATAAAATCTACAATTGAAAGGCTTTTGACTAATTGAGCGACTCATGATTCTCATAATTTTCCACAATGTCTGCAGCACCATCAAACTCCTTAAGCCATTACAGCATTAAGACTGTTTACTAACACAGTTACGTAAACTACCTTGTGGCAGTGAGGAGTCCAGCAATCAGGTCTGGTATATTTTAGTACTACATGCACTTCTTGTTGGCCTGGCTCAACAATTTTTGCATATGTCAATCCAAGCTATTTCTCTCGTTTTATCATCACAACGATCACGATAGGAGAAAAATCGCCGGCTTTAGCGAGTTTGTTATCGATGGCGCAGATGCCATTTCGGGCGATCGTAATTATACTTTTGCAAGCCCTACTGCCCCACGACGTGATGGTGACGTCGTAGTGTCGTAATTTTTGGATGACATAGTCAGGTGGGGGTTTGGAATAACATATGCAAAATTCGCTATGCTACTCCCACTGGAAGTAGGGTGGTGCAGACAGTCTGCGGTCAATTTCATTCAAACCGCTATAAATGAAAAACAAATTTTTCTAACCCATTAATTTTTTCACCGAACGTGCATAGGCATTTATTCTACACGCTAAACCTCAAATTAACTATCTACGACCAGGGGTTAAGGCTATAAAAACCACCAAAGTACGACACTCTGAAGACGTATTCGCGACTGAACGACTAGTGTGCGACCACGGATTTCAAGCCTTGAACATCATTTCTGCTGCGTCGAGACTAGACCATGCGCAGCCATGCGTGAAAAAATTGGGCTTCTAATTGCATTTCTGACCGTCATATATTTTAAGAACACGGTCATTTCGAACAAAACTTGTCAAATTATAAACAAAGCACCGCATCACAGCAATCAAACAGACTAAAACACGGTGGTCGCAAATTGGTCGACAAATATATTCAGATATTATCGACGCATTGAAAATGCGCACCCCCCTATTCCCCCTCCTTTAAATGTGGAAACGCGAAAATTTAAAGATGGTTAAAAGAAAACCCAACTCTTCCCCCTTCCAAGTTTCATCTTTTTATCTACCATATTTGTATGAATTTTCTAGTTTTTTTAATGGGACAATGGGTAGTTGGCGACATGAAAAAATGATCCGTTTTTTCTTCGATCGGGTTTTCGGTCGTAACTTTTTTGTTTGTGACCACATTTTAGTGTAATTTCGCAGATCTATGAGGGACAAGTGGACGATAATGCGTGAGAAATATCGTCGCGGTTCGTTAATTTTCTCTGCATCAATTATATCGATGAAGTTGATGGCCACAAAGTGGGTAAGCCACCCTACTTGTGGTACTTTACTATACTAGACCCCAGCAGTCTCCTCGCACATACAGACATAACTATCCCCTGATGGGATTCGAATCCACGCAAGGTAATCAGATGTGCGGCGGCGAGCGTTTTCCTAAAGCAGTAAAGCTTAGCACGATGCGCCACACCGCCGAGCCATTCGATCAACAATGTTCGTGTATTTGCAACATTTTTCGAACAGATTTCATATTTTTATCATGACCTCTGTATATAAAACATTTATATAGTCTACCTATGATCGAATTTTACCAACCTTGACATATCCAAGAGTTGATCCAAGTCAACGCCACGGAAGGTGTACTTGCGAAAAGTTCGCCGTTTCTTCACCTCTTGTTCAGCCTGGAAATGTATATAGTAACAAATTATATTACGCGCTTACATCTTAGGCCATACTATTATAGCACTACTAAGATCTGAAAAAGCACCAACTTCTGTACATATTTACACGATTACATACGATATACAGAAAATCACAAAAAAACTGACCATTCTCCCGGTGACTGTCTCTCAAAAGGAAAACGTTAGCGCGCAGTCAAGCGTACTGACAATTTTCAAGTAGTGGTCGGAGTCCATAATGAATGGGTTTCATGATTTGTCAACCCCCCATATTCATTGTTAGGCGAAGGATTCACAGTTATTGAATGACTATGTTGACGTATTAAACAATTATATCATGAAAAGATAAACAAGCATATTTACGACAAACAAATAACAATAAAAAATAATCACAATCAACCAATCCATCTTCATTTATTTGTCACCACAAAGTAATCGCATTATTGATAAATAATTCTTCCTCTTGGAGTTTGTTCTTGCAACAACTACATCTTTAAATTTTGAAAGCTTTGAAGAAATCCTAAAAACTTTATAGCTTTGGCTTGGTATCGCATTTCTTCAAATCGATGATGACCAACTACAAAGTTCGCATCTATAAAAGAATCGTTTCTTTTTTATATTGTGAGATGTTTTATTAACTTTATGTCGCTTACAATGTTTTTTGAATTCAAAACACGAATTATCTACCGTATACATTTTCCAGAAGTGAAACTGCTATAGTGAGCTAATAAAGTAACCATTGATGCAACGTCTCTTGGTGGTATGTCAGTATCCCATCCACAAGAGTGAATTGTCGATTTGATATTTCATCAGATCAATACTTATATCACAAACAACACACAGTGCTGGAATAATCATCAAGCAATTTGAGCACGTGCTTAGGGCACCAAGGGAAAGGAGACATCTTAGAAATTTCCATATACAATTTTCCAATAGTGCCTCATTGTTTAAACTTACTCATGCAATTTCAGATGAAATAGAACACGGTGTGGTTATTTTTTTTTATATATATATGAAACCAAAATCTTATGTGTTTAGGCCTCTTTAAGGCATGATCAGGCCTTGGCACTACCAACCCACGAGCCATTCTGCATACAATATATCACTCTTGTTGCTTGATTGTTAGTTACGACAAGTTAAAATGTTTTTATAATTGGTATAATATAAAATGTAATCTGTCAATCTTTTTTATGCCAGAAGAGTTGTTTCGATTTAGTGACCGTATGGTCCTTCCAACCTCCTATCAATTCCGTTGTTAGTCGATTATTCTTCTTTACTTATTGAATGTTGTTGTTTCTGTTTGTTTGTTGGCTAATGACTGGATGATGAATAAACTTCTATCTATCTATCAATAGACAATACGTTTTTTTTCGTCGTACAAGAAATCACAACACAAATCCCAAACAAAATTTTTGAAGGATCAAAAATGGTCATACACAAACATGCGTGGTAAACTGTCCGGTTAGATCTAGATCTTGCAACACTGATTCCGCTCTTTGCCGTCGATTGGTTATTTTCAAGAACATTGTTGAGAAAAATCCCAAGATCTGCAATAGAATGCGAAATAAAGCATTCATTTTGGTAGAATGGAAAACCGATTGACCACATTTTACATTGATTAGCTTATATTTCAACATAATCCGGGGAGAAATGGCATTCCTGAATGAATAGAAAGTTACATCGCACACGCAATTTACTGCATTTTATCTTTAGCACTACCTGTCGCGGGGCTCTTTCGTTTTATCTTTATCTACCAGTGTGTATGGTTTCGCTTTGCTCTGTAATAGAGCATAACGCGGCAGAAATTTCAACATTTTATTGTGAAATGTTCATAAATTTAGGAACAGTAGGCTAAATTGGAGATAAGACGGTCAGAGTTAGCGCAAGAGATAGTTTGGATCAAATTGATGCTTTACAGTTTACAGTCTTAATATTCCCCAACTGACAGTCAGAAATTTGAACCACAATAAAAAAAAACGGGATGTCGTTTTATTAGCATAAATATTAACACATTCAATAGTTAAAGGAGCGCACACGATAGTCCCATTTGAACGCCATCCGTTAAGGCATATAAGCTTGCTTCGGATCAACGCAGTAGGCCTATGTTTAATTTTGGTTAAAAAATTCAAGTTTTCCAAGGACAGATCTGACAGATTTTTTTCCAAACTTCACTTGCTGTGAAAGCTCAAGAAGAAATTCTTCTTATTAGTGAAGCACAAAAACACGTTGCACTTGTTGCATTTAACTCTACGTCTTCCATTGCAACCCCCGTATTTGCATCTGTGGCCCAATCCGTTATTGGAAAATGCATAAATCCATCATATCTCACATCTCCTACAGATCGCTCTGATGGTTTCCGCCTCTTGGTCAAAATGACACTTTCTGTTTGAAATTGTGGTGAAGATAGGCTTACCATATTAAGCGAAAAACCGGGACAGTGCGGATTGGAAAAGCTGTGTCGTATTTACGTAAAATGGCGCCCATGGCAAAGTTAAAAAATGCGCCCCTTGATAGTTGGTTGACGATTGATAATGACTTTTTTTGAAATGCTATACTTCAGGGTGGTCCAAGGTTACGAGGTTGAAGGGCCGCATAAACTTTTGAAGAGGTCTCGCGAGCCGCAGTCAGAGAAAACCCAAAGTGATCAATAAAATCATATTATTCTTTCGTGACATATATTACTTAAAAACAAGCCAGACACTGTGGTTTAACGTTGTTGTGAGTAAGGAAATACGTTTACTCTCAGTTTACTTCGGTCTCCTTCTTTCTACACTCATTGTATGATGAATTTATTACTTGTAGCGTGAGCAGGCTTAGTGCTACCGTCAAAAAACAACCCAGTCCGTCTAAGTTGTGGACCTTGGCTTGGACCCAGATAAAAAAAACTGGATCGCGCGGCAATGAGTCAGCTCTGCGGTTTGTCACTGCTGTCACATGACCAATGCTTGAAAACAGAGGAGTGTTTAGACTAAAATAAAGGCACAAAAGGTCTCTTCAAATGAGGAGTTACTTGACGCGAGCTCATCTCATCGGCTTGGTTCTGTCTGAACAAGCCAATTCATTATCTTTTTATCGATCACAGGACGTCATTCTCATATAGCCACCGTCTTGACGTTTGTAGATGCAACAATGGAATTCCGTGATTTCAACAAACATCAATCCCGACATCAGGAGAAGGAGTATTCTCAATTGGAATAGTTTAAAACAAATCAAAATAATTGTTCTGCTAATATATATACACAAATATCTGCCAATGGTTTAGTAGTGTACGGCTGTACGTTATAATTGTTTTGCGAGCCGCAGATCGGACCACCCTGCTATACTTGTACCTTATTGTTTAAGTATAAATGCGAATTTCAGTTGTCTTCAATTGAAACTGAAATGAATAAAATTATTTTATTGAAACATATATATCACGATAACTTTTCGCCGTTTTTAAACAGCGCCTATGGCAAGAATCATGGCTGCCACACCCTAAATACGCCACTGTGTACAAGCCAACCATGGTTCGATTCCAGAAGCTCAGTATTGGTTCAAACATTTCCTATACCATTATGAGTAGATCACAGGCATCAAAATTAGCTGTAAATCCTATTAAATTATCCTCTATTGGTCTTTGCTTCAAAAAATGGAAATCTTATTTAACTCATTGGAAAATCTGCATTTTGTTTTGGGCATTTGGATGATTTAACGACAGTACAGTTGATTGTTGAATTAACGCGTGGTGGTTCCTAGTTCATATCATAACTATAAAATACCAATTTTTTTCTCTATCTGAACTAGTGAAATGAGACGCAAATCATTGTTTAATTTGCTGCCTCCGTTAGGGAAAATGTTTTTCAATTGTATCAAATAGAGAAATTATGTATGACTGCCATACTGCAAAACCGGAACATTTAGGTTTTCCTTCGGGACGGCCTAAAGACTTGTTAAAACCGGGACTGTCCCGGCTAAACCGGGACGTGTGGTAAGCCTAGGTGAAGAAGAAGTGGAACCAGGTCTTCGGACAGTATGACTCTTTACCAATGCCGTGGTAAGCACATTAGCTTTAAGCAAATCATATGCAACCTCGCTTCTGTATTTTAGTAGGTCCATGATGCGTGTGACCTTGCCATGACCGAGTTCCACTGGCTTGTTAAAAATTGCGATATTCTAGCCACAGTTCCCTAGCGCAAATCGGTGAAGTGAAAATTACTCAACTCCTCCCATATTGTCGTTGTACACCTGAACACATTTTGGCCTTTCTACCATGATGTGTTCTTTTCGATTGCTTTTAACAACTCCAAGTCAATGAATGCCTCTTGATTTTAACTCTTCTAACTCGCTTTCTTCTTCGCCCTCATTGCTGGTCGCTACTACCAGGCTAATTATTGAAACTGCCGAAATTGGGATCGTATTCCTCGTCCATATCATCCTCGGATTCAGAAAGGCCAATGCCAGACGCATTTAGGCGATCAAACATCCCTTCTGCCTTCAATGGGCTATCTCCTGCTTCACTAAAACAAAACATATTTCATAGTCAGGGCTGCTAGAACACTTGCTACTTTACAGCCTGGCAAAATATTTTAGCTTCAGTCATATTCAAGTATAAATATGAAAATTAAAGCTTTTTCTATTGCATTATACGCTTATTATCTCCCAATAACTGTTCTATGAAACTGAGACCTTGGTTTACTTAACCCTCAGCTGTATTGTAGTACCATGAAAATACCAAGTTAGGCTACAGTTTGGGATAATTTCAACATGAAATTTCCTGGCATAATAAATATATATATATATATATAATAGAATGTTTTAACAGATAGAATTATTTAACAGAACTGCAACGTACGATTGTACACTTTCCTGGTCTAATTTATAGCCCTAGAAATATATAAAACAAAGTGATTTATTTCATAAAAATCTGTGCTTTTTTTTCTCGTTCGTCGCGAAAGTTACAATTGTACACATCAACTTTTAAAAACTTCTACGACAGTGTTTCTCAACCTTTTTTTCTTTCGTGGCCCACTTTTGTTGCATAAAAATTCTGTGACCCACTAACTTTTTCATGCAAGGGAAAAACTACAAGAAAAAACAAGACTCTTTTTGCAAAAATAAATACTTTCACTTCAATAATTAGAATGAAAAGCAGCAGCATCATTCATTGCTACTACAATGAAAATTTGACTATTATGACACAAAACGAACTAATCTTTTCAATATTATTAGTAATTT